TCTACTCACTCCCCCGCCCCTTTTTGTGTGCACACAAAATCACACAGGAATATACATTCATTTAAACAATCAAAGGGCATATTTTGTAAGTTGATTTCATGCCCACCAGCACACAGCCTTTCTCTTTCCATGAGTCTAGAGTTCTCATCTGCTCTATTTCTCCATGCCATCACCTCTGCCTCTGGGTCACTGCTTGTCTGGTTAGGATCTCACATTCCATTCCTGTTCTTCCCTCTTGATGGTCCTATGGTTTTCTGTTCCTGAAATGCAAGGTTAACTACTCCACCCTATTTGTTACTTAACTTCTACCTTTTCACTGTGACAATCACAATTATTCATGATAATAATTGCTCACTATTGGATTAAAAAAAAAAAAAATCCTGTCCCTTTCACCATAACCATCTAGACAAGATGAAAACTATTCCATGGGGCTTACACTTTCCCCCACTTGCTGTTAATCAAAACTCCCTCTCGAAAACTTGTAAGCCAGCCACTTCATGACTTTATAGCCCACCCACCCCACTTCCCATTTTAGATAGCCAGTGTCTAAGTTGCCTGTCCCTATCAACCCTGTGGACTGAGGGGATAGGATTGATCTTTGATATGAAGATTTCTTCCATCTCTGTTAGTATTTTGAGCTACTATATCCATAAATAAAGGTCAAGTTCATCAAATTGTAGCAATTTACACTTACTTCCTGTATCAAATTTCTTTATCTTCCTCTAGTGGGATTCTGATCATCAAGCCATTCAGGCTAGGTCAAAAGGGTATTATCTGCAAGTTTGGGCATTCTTGCACGCCTCCCCCCACTTAATATAAGCTGGATGCTTCATTCTCAGCTCTAGCCCCCAGTGACTAGGTCAGTGATAAACTCTTTCTTGTGGCTTACTTATAGAGATATTTTCTGAAACATTATTTTTCAATATGAACATTACAGAGAGAGGATGTACCAATAGTCGAGATGTTATCTGAGTGAGACTTTTAGGAATCTATAGTAAAACATTCTGCACCAGATCCTACAGCTCTAGTGATAAAAGATCTTCCATATATCTGGCATATGAACATCTCTAGAAAATATTTATCTTTTGTAACTGTAGCCAAAATGTCTTATCACAGAATACATTACATGTATCATTTCTCAAACCTGTATTGGTAGACTCAGTCTTAGAAGGTAACCCAAAGAGATTCTAACTCACAGTAACCCTAACGTACTGAGAAAAACTGCCCTATACTATTTACAAGGCTCTGTGGCTCTGTAGGATCAGCACTGGACTGCGATCTACAAGGTCAACAGTTCAAACCTACCAGCTGCTCCTTGGAAACCATATACAGGGTTGCTTTGAATCACAACTGACTGGAAGGCACATAACAAAAACAATGATCTTTATGGAAAAACTTCTGAATCTTTCTCCCATGAAGTGATGGTGAGTTCATACTGAAGACCATTTGGATAACAGCCAAGTGCTTAATCACTGCACCACCATTGTTCCTTCCTTGTTGTTGTTGTTAAGTGCCATCGAGTGGATTCCAACACATAGCGACCCTGTATAGGGTTTCCAAGGAGCAGCTGGTGATCTTGAACCACTGACCTTGCAGTTGAAATGACTTTGCAGTCTGACGCATTAGCCCACAGTGCCACACCAGGACTGCTTCCTTAGGAGATAGTAAAAGATATTTAGTATGTACAGTGGAGGGGTTCTAATAAGTGTAGAAATTTTATTTGGTGGGAAGACGAGAGACTTGAAACCAGACAGACCTGGTTATGAATCTACCATACACTTTTTCTCCAAGTATTCTCCTTCTTGAAGTGGAGACAGTAATAACCATCTCATGCATTTGCTGTGATTAAAGAAAATACCATATGAAGCATTTTCCCTGTACGAACAAGATGGGATCACTGTGAATGCCCAGAAACCATTATTATCACTCTCCTGGGCTGAGGAATGCCACACCCGGTAACATTTTCAGAGGTGGTAACACAAAAATGATTGCCTATAAAGCTTTGTGCAGTATTTCCACAAAAGTGTGTTGTTTTTAATTTAAAAAATCACTGTAATGAGTTACAATAACAGAAGATCTATTTTACAAGTCCAGTTCAAATACTCAATATATCTATAAGGAATTTGAATGGCTTGTGAAGAAAGGAGATACGTGAACTGTCCTAATTTGAAGATACATACTAATATACCCAACTGCCTCAGCAACAACTACACTTTGATGTCTAACAGACATTTGAATTTAATATGTTGTTAAGTGCCGTCGAGTCGATTTCCGACCCATAGCAACCCTGTATAGGGTTTCCAAGGAGCAGCTGGTGAGCTTAAACCACCAACCTTGCAGTTCAAATGACTTTGCAGTCTGACGCATTAGCCCACAGCGCCACACCGGATATAGTTAATGCCAAATTCATGCCTGGATTTCTTGATCTATCAGAATAGCAACAATATTTTTCCAGATGAACAGAACCAATCTCCTGGAGTCAGTTCGCTAGTAAGTCCTTTCAGCTCCTTCTTAAAAGTACTTCCCAAGTCCTTTGAATTATCATCATGTCCACAATCCAGTGATGACTGTAATAACATCGTATCTGGAATTCTTGCTTCTAATTTATTCCCTTCAGTCTGTCCTACAGCAGCCAGAATGTTCCTTTCACAAATGACCCATATCTTGGCGTTTCTCTATTCAGAATCTACCTTGGCTTCTCATTTATTTTATAGTAAAACTAAAGACTTCACTGTAGCATAACCAAAAACATAACCTACTGCCATCAAGTCAATTCTGACTCATAGCAGCGTGTAGGGCAGAATAGAACTCTATCTTAAAGACCCGGTGTCATCGCAGATTCTCATTCCCATTCTGTGTGGTGCTGTAGATTAATGTGCTGAACTGCAAAGTCAGTCTGAACCTCAAGGTCAACAATTCAAGCTCACCAGCCATTCCTTGGAAATGCTATACAGGATAGCTATGGGTTGGAACCCACTCGACAGCACTTAACAATAACAGCAACAACCCAATTGTAGTAGACCCTCAAGTACACCAAGCATGTTCCTGTCATAGGATCTTTGACTAGTTTCTCTGTCTGGAATGTTCTTCTCTATATGTCTTACTCCACTCCTTTTTTCTGCTCTCTGCTCAAATGTCAGCTTATCAGACAGGGTTCCTCTGTACATCAATTTTAAATGACTCCCCTATTCCTGTATGGGAGTACTGTGACACCACATGATAAGCACTGGACTATGAACCACAAGGTCCACGGTTCAAGCCCACTAACCACTCCCTTGGAGAGAGATGAGATTTTCTGCTCCTGAGAATATTTAAAGCCTTGGAAACCCTATTACAGGGTCATTATGAGTTGGAATAGACTCCACAGCACTTAACAAAAACAGCAACATTCCTATATAGCTCATTTACTTTCTTTTCTCCATAACTCATGCCTCTACCTGCCATTGTATGTATTTATTGACTAAGTGGTTTATTGCCTAAATACCCCACAAACTGATATGAACCTTGATGAGAGCTGAGTCATATCTATTGTGTTCAAGATGGTATGTTTAGCACCTAGATCAGTGCCACAGAGTAGTTGCTAATAAATATTTGCTGAATGAAAGAAACAATCAAAATTCTGATTAAGACTTTATTTAATAAAAACATTCTACTGCATTGAAAGATTTTTTAAAAGGACCAGTAGCAACCTCTAACTGATAAATTGATTTGTGAGATGCTTTCAAATCATAAATTGGCATCTTGCTGTTGTCAAATCAATTCCATCTCATAGCAACTCTGTGTAGAGTTTCTGAGGCTACAAATCTTGGTTCTTCTTGTTGTTAAATGCCGTCCAGTTGGTTCCAACCCATAGCGACCCTGTAGAAGGTTTCCAAGGAACAGCTGGTGAGCTTAAACCACTGACCTTGCAGTTCAAACCAACTTTTAGTCCAGCACATTAACCCACAGCACCACGCCAGGACTCCATATATTTTTATAGGAGCAGAAAATCTCATGTTTCACCCATGATAAATATGCTTAGCATTTTATTAATTTAATCAATATAAATTAATACACAGTAGTATTGTGGTTGCTGATAGGTGTCATCAAGTTAGTTCCAATTCATAATGACCACATGTACAACAAAAGGAAATGCCGCCCCATGCTTCACCATCCTCAAAACTGTTGGTATGTTGAAGCATATTGCTGCTGCCATTGTGGCAATCCATGTTGCTGGGGGTCTTCCTCTTTTTTGCTGACCCTCCATTTTCCCAAGCATGATGTCCTTCTCCAGAGACTGGTCTCTCCTGATAACATGTGCAAAGTATGAGAGATGATGTCTCACCATCCTCACTTCTAAGGAGCATTCTGACTTTACTTCTTTCAAGACAGAAATACATAATAGCAATTTTGTTGTTGTTGTCAGGTGCCATTGAGTCGGAACAGACTCATAGCGACCCCATGCACAGCAGAGTGAAACAATGTCCGATCCTGGGCCAACCCCACCACCACTGCCACACTTGACACCATCAATGATGCCACCTGGCTGATCCATCTCGTTGGTGGTCTTCCTCTTTTTCTCTGACCCTCCATCTTACCCAGCATGACATCCTTCTCCAGCGACTGTTCTCTCCTGACAATATGTCCAAAGTATGAGAGACGAAGCTTAGCCATCCTGGCCTCCAAGGAGCACTCTGGCTGCACTTCTTCCAAAACAGATCTATTGGTTCTTTGGGCAGTCCGTGGCACTTTTAGTATTCTCCTCCAACAACTGAAAGGCATCAATTCTTAACATAATAGCAATAGCATACCCATTTTGACACATGCAAAAGTAAGAAAATGTTTTGTGACCATTGTCTTTCCAATAATTTAAATCAAAGATTCCCAACTCATGATCTGTTAATCAGTAACAAGTATACAGGTAATAGTGCCAAGCATACAAGTCAGGATTTTATGAAAGTTACCTATTACTATTTGTATACATAATTTCATTCCCTATGTACTTGTTTTTGTCATTTTAGGTACTGGAGATATAGTGAAGAAATGAAAACCATGGATCCTGGCTATCCCAAACCAATCACAGTCTGGAAAGGTATCCCTGAATCTCCACAGGGAGCCTTTGTCCACAAAGAAAATGGTATGCAATGTTGCATTATACATTTATGAGTTTGATACATATTTTGATGACGTATTCTACTTTTTCACTGTGTTAAATTAAGCCATTGGAAAACGCCATACTAGAGTTCTACTCTTCTTACGTTTGCTTTTAATATGATGCTCCATACATTTTTATTGACTCAACCTACTATGTTGTGTTGAGTGCTGTTGAGTCAGTTCCAACTCATAGTGATCCTGTATAGGGTTTCTTTGGAGTAGCTCATGAGATTGAACCGCCCATCTTGCACTTCAAACTGATCTTGCAGTCCAGCACATTAACCCACAGCACCACACCAGGACTCCATCAACCTATTATAGTTTATAAAAATCATTAGGAAAAAAATAAGAAAGTAATTTTGAAAGGAAGGTATGGATACCTTTGAAGTAACTCACTTTGCTTTCTACTAAAATTTCTATTTTAAAGATATGAATAACGAATATGTGGAAGAGGGATTGGCTACAAGGAAGGCAGGTTATAAATGAGGGCTGAGGGACAGAGATAGTTGGTACATGCACTCTTTCACTTTAGAGTGTCAAAAAACCAAGAAGACCCCAGATTAATACAGTCAGATAAAGTGGATATATGATTATCTTATAACAAGCAAAAGGTCAGAGAGCTGCACACTTCCCTTGGTGTCTACCTAAGGATTTGAGATTAAGCCAGCTCTCAGGTGTGTAGTTAGCCAAACCATGAATAATCAATAGTCCCCTATGTGTTGGCATATGCAATGTCTGAATCTATCTCTACTTATTCAAAGATAATTGAATAGGAATAAATAATAATAATTTGAAAGTGAATGCAAACACCATACTAAAAAACAAAGGAAAGAAAAGAGATATAATGAACCAGAGAGAGAAACATACCTGATCTAATGACTTAAATAGGATTCAGAAGAAAATCATATGTTGTGTGGATCCTCATAGCATGGACAAACCTATAACATATACAATAAGAAAAAATAAATATAGCTTACAAGAGTAAAATTAAGCATGTTTAGGATCGAGAAAGACAGAAAGAGAGAGGGAGAGAAAAATAATAAAAAAAGAATTAGGGGAAAATGAAAAATGACACTTCCACTGTAAAGTATAACTAACCATCTAGACAATAAAAGAATTTCAGAAAAATTTATACCAGGGTAAACTTGGAGGAACTGAGACCCTTACTGAATGATAACTAGTCAAAATATGGCTGCTTTTCAGCATTAAGTGTAATGATATGCTACATTCTACAATAATGTCCCACAAGTAAAATACTGTAGAAACTAAGTAAAAAAGAACCCTGATGCCCAGATGACAGCACTTGCTGAGAATTACTTGATTTGTGCATATTCCATTAATTCAGAGAATAAGAGTATTGACTTAAGATACAGTTCCTATGCAACAAAAGGAGAAATTTGTAAGGAGAGGACAAATTGAGGTGAAAAAAAAAAAATCTGCTTGAGATAAAATGGTAATCAATAAGAAAATGAAGGAAACCACAATGCAGTTACACTGTTGATGTGTGTCATCAAATCAATATCCCTATATAAAGTTTCCAAGGCTATAAATCTTTACACAAGCAGAAAGCCTCATCTTTTTCTCATATAAGTCATTTTCTTGTTAAGCACTGTGAAGTTGGTTCCTTCTCACAGCGACACTGTAGATAGTTTATAAGACTTAAAATCTTTGTGGGAACAGAAAGCCTGTCTCATCTTTGTCCCATGGAGTTGCTGCTGGACTCGAACAGCTAATCTTGTGGTTCACAGTCCAGTGCTCATTCTACATAGCCACCACACTCCCCTTGCAGTCATAATGAAGGTAGTAAAGTAAGATTAAAAAAAAAAAAAATGTGAACAGAAACTCTCAAAATACAGATAAAAAGAACAACAGAAAAAACGTGAAAGATCAAACTGAAGACAGAAAACTGATATCACCTCCTTAATAATTGTATGAATAATATTTTTTAAAACACTAAAACTGAACATAATTGTGCAAGGAAGGATATTTTCTAAAGTAAGACCAAAAAGAGTTATTGTATCACAGACCGAACCAACACTAGCTGACATGTGTTGATTTCAAACCACTGCTTTGTTGGTGGTAGTGGTGGTGGTGGTTCTGACTGATAGCAGCCCTATAAAGGGTTCTGAGGAACAGCTGATGAGTTTGAACTGCTGACCTGTGGTTAGCTGTCCAATGCTTATCCTATAGCACCATACCAGTACTCTGCCATTGTGTCCCAGATAATGCCAATGCTAGCTGACATTTGTTAACTTCCTGCCATCGAGTCAGTTCCGATCCATAGCAGCCCTGATTAGGGTTTCTGAGGAGTAGCTGATGAGGTTTAACTGCTAACCTTGCAGTTCAAACCAACTTTTAGATTGCCTTCAATGATAATCCTCACACATTGTTTAAAAATACAGAGAAAATTAAACTAAGATCTTACTAATGATTAACTTTGGTGGTGGTGGTGGTGTGCCTTGGAGTTGGTTCCGATTCATAGCGACCCTATATAGGATTTCTGAGTCTAAATCTTTACAGCTGGTAGTTTCAAACTGCTGACCTTGGGTTAACAGCCCAACGCATAACCCACTACATTACCAGAGCTCCTTAGTGATTAACTCTCATTTCCCTTTTCTTGTCTGTATTTTATTTGTTTTTTAAATGAGTATGAAAAATTTTATAATAAAAATATGTAATAATTCCCTACAAGGATGATCCCAGGGACATGATAAAATCAGAGATGAGAGAGCACTGATAAATTTCTTCTAGTCCACTCTTCTACCAATGTAGGAATTATTTTAATAGAATATACTCCTAGTGGTACAACTCCTAGGAGGTCTGGTAGCATAGTGGTTACGAATCAGGCTGAGAACCTTAAGGTCAGCAGTTCGAAACTACCAACTGTTCCATGGGAGAAAGATGAGGCTTTCTGCTCCCGTAAAGATTTATAGCCTTGGAAACCTTGTACAGGGTTGGTATGAGTCGGTTCCGACTCCACGGCACATAACCACCACTACCACCTAATGGTAATTTCCCAAAAGAAGTCTATAAGTTTAAAATTCCACTACATATTTTTACAGATTTTTTTTTTCATATTAACGTGAAATATACCTCTCTATAACATTGACCAATTATATTACTTGTACCACTGTGACCATTTATTGGTGTGTCACATAAATTGTCCAATTTAGTTATCTGGCACAAATACCTCTTCAACACATTTGTTACTATTTACAAATGGAAAGACCAAACTTAGCTACTTTAATTTATTCAAGTTCATACAACTAGTAGATACATATCCAGGGTTTGAAATGAGAATACACTATTCCCCCAAAACTAAATTGTCTTCAAAGAGGAAAAGTTAATGTCTTTTTCTATCTGATAGTCACTAAAATAATCAAAACTATGTCATGTCTTACAGAAATTTGTGTTTGGTAATACCAAAAAACCAAAGCTGTCTCAGAAGTTCATTTCCCAGCTACCATTTTCCAACTTTGCACATATAATCAACAATTAATAGAACAATTATATCATTTGTTTTTAGCCCCTGTAAATCACTATGGTGGTGGTGTGCCGTGGAGTAGGTTTCAACTCATAGTGACCCTGTACAGGGTTTCCGAGGCTGTAAATCTTTACAGGAGCAGAAAGCCTCATCTTTCTCCCGCGAACAGCTGGTAGTTTCGAACTGCTGACGTTGCGGTTCACAGCCCGATTCGTAACCACTACGCTACCAGAGCTAACTATACTATTCCAAATAAGAATATGCAACTTATGTAAAATACATAGAAATACTTTCTTCTTAACATTCATTACTCAACAGCCTTTTAAATAAGTGCCTGTGATTTTAAGTAACTGCATGTTTGCAATTGTGGTAAAGAATTAAAGAATCACTGCATTCCCACCCCCCAGAATGATTCTACATTAATTACTGTCAAGATATACCTCCCAGATATTTTACATTGTCTCTTTAGAAGATGCAATTTTAAGATAAATATAAGATTCTATTTTTGAACACTCCTGAATTTCATATTAATTGATTACAGCCCAGCTTTTAACCTGAAATGTTTGAATCTTGGTTCTATTGATCTGGTGTATCAACATTCCTTTCCCATATTCACTCTCTTTATTAAACTCATCAAGTATTATTTAAGCAAATAGTATTTCCACATGGTTCAGTGTATTCATTCACATTTACCAAATATTAATATCTTCTTATTAATAAGCATGAAAGGATAGAAAACAGAGAGCACACACAGACACTGTTATCAATGAATACTTGCTATACATTCACACACATACACACATATATACAGATAGGTGTCTGTTATCAAAGCAAAATATTCATTGTGTACCAGTTAATTTCATTAGGAGTAAGTGTAGAGTAGTAATCAATAAGGTAAGGTCAGTGAAAGAAGATACCCAGAAGGAATAAATTACCCAAATCATACTACATTCAGAGAAACAGTGTTATATTTCCATAAGAATTCTGTGAGGGAAAAAAATTGCTGGCTAAATACATTTGGGAAGACTGTGTATTATAGTCTCTCTTTTGAGGTATGAACTATTCATTAGTATACTAAGGCTCTATGAATTGTTGCATTAAAGAAACAATATATGCATGTTGTTGTTAAATGCTGTTGACTTGATTGTGAATTATAGTGACCCTATATAGGCTTTCTGAGGTCATATAAAGTACGTATATGAAGGAGATTCAAAAAGTTCATGGAAAAATGGTGTTAAAAGATAACGAAACCCCCTTCCAAGACTAAGACTCAATGGGAATACACAAGCAGATATGTGCTCTGTCTGGTGACCACATTGGTACCTATAAGGGGAAGTGAGGGAAAAACAGCAATGAAGCTGCAAACTAAACCCTACCACATTCAATAGACTCCTGTGAACCCAGGTAGAGACATGGTTGGCCAGCAGTGTGGCAAGACCTGGGGACTCCTGGGCCCAGAGTCAGTGACATAGCCACAGAGGACTAGAGTGGAGAGTGAA